TGTCCCGCCTGCTGCCCACGGGAGAGGCAGACAGACCTGGAGGGGGGCAGGCGCTGCACTCCGCCCCCGGGAGCAGTTATTTGTTCTCCGGAGGCCCGGGCAGGAGGTGGAGTGGGAAGTGGCCCCGCACAGACGTGTCGAGGAAGGGGAAATGGGTGAACTATGCGTTGCTGCCCTAAAAAGTTCCCTGCGCTGAGTCAGCGAGCTGGGGAATGTACCTTGTAGAAATCACCCGCCCACCCAAGAATGACCCACAATTAAAAGGAACGTCCCTGCTCAGCTGATGAAGCGGGGGGTTTCCCCACGAAAGCTCCTGAGTCCATATATTTGGATTAGTCTCTGAGGCTATGTCTAGACTGCAAGCCTCTTTCGAAAGAGAGCGTCTAGACTGCACGCGGAACCTTCGAAAAAGCAAGCCGCTTTTTCGAAAGAAAGCAGCGAGTGAGTCTGGGTGCTCTCTTTCTGAAAAGCCCTGTTTGCTTTCAAGAACGCCTTCTTTCGAAAGAGCACTTTTGAAAAAAGGCGTTCTTCCTCGTGGAATTAGGTTTACCGCCGTCGAAAGAAAAGCCGCGTTCTTTCGATTTAATTTCGAAAGAACGTGGCTGCAGTCTAGACGCAGGTGAAGTTTTTTCGGAAAAAGGCTACTTTTTTCGAAAAAAACCCTGAGTCTGGACACAGCCTAAGTAAGATGCCACAGAACCACTGCTTTTTTTTAAAGGTGCAGACTAACACTGCCACCCCTCTGGGATTTGTCCCCTCCATGGTGACCGTAGTGTACCCCTGCCCCAATTACAGGCTAGATGGAGTTTAAATTGGTATCTTTCAGTCCCATAAAATAGGCTAAACCAGCTGGATTTGGAGCAATTTGTATCCTGTGTGGGGGTGTTGAGAGCCATTGAACCAAACAAAGTGGCTGCGTCTAGACTGGCATGATTTTGCGGAAATACTTTTAATGGAAAAGTTTTTCCATTAAAAGTATTTCCACAAAAGAGCATCTAGATTGGCACGGATGCTTTTGTGCAAAAAGTGCTTGTGCACAAAAGCATCCATGGCCAGTCTAGACACAATTTTGTGCAAGAAAGCCCCGATCACCATTTTAGCTATCAGGGCTTTTTTGCGCAAAACAGTTCTTCCCTGTCTACACTGGCCCTCTTCCCTGTCTACACTGCGCAAGAGGGCTTTTTCCCGAGCGGGCACGGGAAAGTATTTGCGCAAGAAGCACTGATTTTGTACATTACAAAGTCAGTGCTCTTGCGCAAAGTCAAGCGGCCAGTGTAGACAGCTAATCTTGACAATCTAGACGCACCCAGTCTGTATATTATGGAAAACACTTCAATCCAAGGGGATGTCCATAATTGGTTGTAATCCCACCAAAGTCAAGGGACAGAAAGCAATACTATGATGTGCAAGGATCAGGCCAACCTTCTTACTGAAAGAAAAACTGATGTTTTCCTGTCATCCTGAGAATCAGAGTTTAAACTTTCTTCCTCTTCTGCTTTTTTCTACCGGAGTCTGGACTTTAAATTATTCTTTTGGAAATCTTAGATTTACAAGAATCATTAGCTCATTGTGGCGTTGAGCTAATCCACGGTGAATGCAGCAAATCAGCACTGAAAAGCACTGTATTGAAAGACATTACAGACTATTACATGCCCTTCATTGCACAAATGATCTCTGTTGTAAAACTCCAGTATTGTGCAACAACCTTACTGGGAGAATTCATAATCTACATACAATTTTTAATCTATTATGTTTCTAAAAGTGCCCTATGTGCCTGTCTGTCTATGAGTCTGTTTGCTCAGAAGTCCTTCTAAAAGGCAAGAGCTAGGAGCACCAAATTTGGTATGAGCTTTCTCTTATCCTAATTTAAAGCAAGGTCAGGATTTGGTTGTGCCAGGACAATGGGATGTGCCTGGAATGTGATTGTTTCTCAAAAAACACAGAGGGAGGGGTCTGTTAGCAGCACAGTTATGCTGCAGAATGACCACAGGGGGGGTGGATGCACCAGTAAAAGAGTGGCAAGGTGGGGGTGAGGCTATGGATGTTGCTGGCCACCATACACGGATAAAGTTCCTGTGCTGGTGAGCCGCAAGCCGGGCAACATGGCCCCACTTGCCCTGGCCAGCCCTGAAGATCTATTGTCAAGGCACCATGCTCCCATCATCCTGGCCAGCCCCAGGATGTCACTAACCTCCCCCTAAGTGATTGGCCAACCTCCTGCACCTCCCACCCTCTTTCCTGAGTCCCCACACACTTCCCACCCCCCTGCCCTGACTCCTGCACCTCCACCCCCGTACCCTGAGCCCTTCCTCATCCCTCAAGCCTGAGTCCAGCACCCCCACACACACCTCCAGCCCCCTGCCCTGAGCCCCTCCTTAATGACCCAGGCAGCGCTGGGTAACTGTGCACATAGCCTATAAAAGCTAAAGTAAGACGTGATTTGAAATACCAAACATGGGACAGATTACTGGACATGGGTTAGGCAATAAAGAGGGTTACAACAGTGTTTTGTAATTATTAACTTTGTTCTTATTTACTAGCCAGAATAAAACACAAATCAGGTCTTATTTTTGCAGTACCAAGGGTTTGATACTACTAGATGCCAAGTGCCATCAAATTTCATTGGACAACAGTGCCCAGAACTTTACACAATCAAACCTTACAAAATGCCTAATAGCACAGATTCTTTTAACTCTAAGGCACTGGTTATATTGTTACTATCAGAGGGTATGTCTACACTACCCCGCTAGTTCGAACTAGCGGGGTAATGTATGCATACCGAACGTGCTAATGAAGCCCGGGATTTGAATTTCCCGGGCTTCATTAGCATAAAGCCGGCTCCGCCATTTTTAAAAGCCGGCTTGTTCGAACCCCGTGCCGCGCGGCTACACGCGGCACGGGCTAGATAGTTCGAACTACGTAGTTGTTCCGTGAGGTGTACAGATAGTTCGGAACAACTACGTAGTTCGAACTATCTAGCCCGTGCCGCGTGTAGCCGCGCGGCACGGGGTTCGAACAAGCCGGCTTTTAAAAATGGCGGAGCCGGCTTTATGCTAATGAAGCCCGGGAAATTCAAATCCCGGGCTTCATTAGCACGTTCGGTATGCATACATTACCCCGCTAGTTCGAACTAGCGGGGTAGTGTAGACATACCCTAATTGCTGTTTGGTGGCTATACACAAAATGAGCCATCTCAATTCCTACTGGATGGAAGTTTCACATAAAAAGCACTGTTACAATTATTCATGTAGCACCAGAGATGTACATATTGGCTGTGTCTAGACTGGCAAGTTTTTCCGGAAAATCATCTGCTTTTGCGGAAAAACTTGCCAGCTGTCTACACTGGCCGCTTGAATTTCCGCAAAAGCTCTGATGATCTCATGTAAGATTGTCAGTGCTTTTGCGGAAATACTATGCTGCTCCAGTTCGGGCAAAAGTCTTTTTCCGAAAAACTTTTGCGCAAAAGGGCCAGTGTAGACAGCAGAGAGTTGTTTTCCGCAAAAAAGCCCCGATCGCGAAAATGGCGATCGGGGCTTTTTTGCGGAAAAGCTCGTCTAGATTGGCCATGGACGCTTTTCCGCAAAAAGTGCTTTTGCGGAAAAGCGTCCTGCCAATCTAGACGCACTTTTCTGAAAATGCTTTTAACGGAAAACTTTTCCGTTAAAAGCATGTCCAGAAAATCATGCCAGTGTTGATGTAGCCATTGACACACTACTTGGATAGGTGAATTCGCAAGAAACTTAACCCCCCTGACCTCGAAAGTGCGTCAGAGTTGCCCAATAAAACTGAAGCAGCTATACTGGGGAGGCCGAAATGAAACCCTGAACTCTGATCCTCTGAACTCCTCCCCAGCTTTCCTCTTCTTTTTCTTTGTGAAGTCTGATTATTTGATGCTTTTGCAGAATAAATGCATTTTCCCATCATATAATTTTAGATAATCATGTTTCTTTCAGTGTAAGACTCAGCAGTATTTGAACTTACTCTAAAAACATTCTTTCAAGACCTGCAAACTCTTCTGTTTTAGGTACAGGATGTCATGAGACTATTATAGAGCTCCTAATTCATCATAATCATGAAATGTAGACAACTGGGAATACTCACAGATGACTCGTAGTAGCACTCGTGAGGTTCACCACCCCCACTATGTCCCTGATGACCCACCCTGTCCCTCTGGATGGACCTCCTTGTATCCCCTCCTCCCTCAAGCACCAGCCACTCCTGTCCTCACGATAGTAAAAGATTATTAAAGATTACTAATACAATTCCACTTTCATATAGTAGTGTTGACATCACCTAAATTGTTGGTAGTGCTAACGTATGCTAGGAAAGTGCAGTAGGATTGGGTCTTAAATAAATACTAAAACTCCACTGAATACAGAACAGATCCCTAGAAAACAATACAATGAAGAGATTTGTCCATATATATACTTTATAAAATATTTTTAAATCCTTCAGGTTGAAAGTCACTTATATAAATGTAATATTATATGTAAGTGTTCTTATATCATGTCAGGGAGCAGCATAAGATAAATAAATAGATGTTCAGTTAAATTTCTCCTGTTTAAACTGTGACTCTTTTGTACATATGCTTCCATTCACAATGCATACGGTGTGTATATTTCCTATTGCCAATGTTGTAAAATGATATTGATCATATTTTTTGTCTTATGAGACTGTAGAATATTTAAAATCAACTTAGTACATAATGTACCATAATCTCTATAGTATGTAACTTTTCACAGGGTGATTAATCTGTGGAATATTTTAATTAAATATAGTAATCAATGTCACTGCAGATAGCATGGGTGACATATGTTATATGCTATGGGTGGCATATAACTCTTCAGTT